ATACTGAGACGCATATGAGTTACATACTATGAGGTAGTCTCTGACTTGGTTAAAAAACAAACTGTGGTTTTACACAAATGAGCAATGTGCTGGCGCGCACACCTGCATCATGCTTGCTTCTCTCCACCCCATGTCTGGTGGCCATCAATTTAAATCTGAACCCATGGCTCTGACTGACACACTGATTGGGACAATGCAACAGTGGGCAGCCTGTGGCCCTCAGCCTAATTTTATGCGGGTGGCAAGGAAATGGGGGAGGTTATTGAAAGAGAAAAAGAAAGAGCACTTTGGGGTCTGGCCCACCTACCAGCAGCAAGCAGTCCCTGATAGATTAACCCTGAGGAAAGGTTCACAGCCCTGATATGATAGCTGTCAATGTCACAAAGATACTACATTCCCACTCTGCAACTCAGGCTGCATATGCAACATACATTTCATGCACATGACCTCCCCCAAAGTATCCTGGGAACTGGAGCTTGTTAAGGGTGCTGGGAATTATAGCTCTCTGAGGGGTAAACCACAGTTCCCAGGATTCTTTGCAGGAGGCCATATGCTTTTATTGTATGGTGTAATCCCCTTAGGCATCTTTAGGGGTGATGGATGGCTCCCAAGCCCCACACCTTTAAGTTGTACAACCTGGATGCAGAATAAGGGCCACATTTGAGCAGAACCCACCTCATCCACTCAGAGTTTTAGGCACTAGGGGAAGTGATGCAGAAAGGCCGCTCTGTTCAACTTTGGTGAGGCTGGAGGTGTGGGGAGGTGGAATTGCCTTCCCCTACCCAGGCAAGCTTTTGCTTAAAATTTTGTTATTTAGCTCCCACACCGATAACTTCCCATTGCAGCTTCTGCTTGTGTTCACTTTTAATAAAGTGGCCTATCGTTCAACCCACACGTTGGTGTCAGGTTTTATTTCAATGGCCACAAAACCAGAGCTTGGAAAGTAAAAAGTAACTTGTTCTAGTCTCAGGTCCGAAAAGGAACTGATTCCAATTCACCCTCATCTCTTTACAAACTGAACTGGTTTGGTTTACAATTCAATGCAAGTTCATCCAAATGATTGTTGGTACTTTTTTCAGCTTTGAGAATGTTACAAGCTACTGTGCTGAAGTATAAATTATACGTAAGGAGACATCAAAATACACACACAGTAGAATGTATATTATTTGGTTTATTTCCCCCCAACAATTATAATCTTTAAGCAGGCCAAAGTGCTGAAAGAATAATATTTTTTTAAAAAAGAGAGAATGAAGCTGAAGATTAACTACAGTAGGAATCGTTCGAAGTGCTGGGGAATAGCATATCTGGGCTGCTGCTATTTTCAAGTGCATTTCAGACACATATCAGCAAATTCAGGTTGTGCAACCTCCCCACATGCAAATAAGAATGAATGCTTAAAAAAAATAAAATAGCCAAGAGAGTCACACATCCCTGCAAACTTAGTGCAGATGTATCAGGATGAATGTTCACTACGCAGATCATCAGAAAGTGAACAAAAGGTGCAGAGGGAAGAGGGATTCACTGAGTCCTGTAATCATGACCTTCCCTACAAATACACAGCAGATCTGCATATATGGGCACCTTCTTGAAAAGAGCCCTTGCATGACATTTGACATTTTCCCAGATTTGAAAAGGCCACCAGGTGATTGGATTTTTAATTTGATTCAAAATGGATAAAGAGCATCCACTGGTAAAGTGATTTTATTTGTTTGCATGGAGCTCAGCATAAATACATACAAACACAAATGTGTTAATTATTAATGCTCAGTATTAAAACTTGTTCTTTAAATTTGATTTAAGAAGAAAATATTTGAGATTCAACATCCAACAGGAACAGGCTCTAGATCTGCAAATATTAGTAGAATGGTATCGGCAGAAATGTTCCTTCCTTGTCTATAAATTCTAGCTGAAAGGGGACCAGCTTCAACGTGCCATATTAAATTGGCATTTAGCACAGTGAAACTGCAGTTGATCTTCCCTGATCGTAGAAACAAAATGCTAGCAGGTTCATATTTATAATGCAGATGTATTGCATTAGAATACATCACTACACATGACAAAATTTCTCCTTAAACATTGGCTGTTAGAAAACTGCTTTTTGGATTATGCAGGAACAGCTGCAGACATTTGTGTCTTCAAAATATACAGTATTGATGAAAGGTAGTTCCTTTACACCTCCATAAGTCCCTCCATAAAAATAGCCTTTTCAGTTCTCATGAAGACACACTAAAGGATTATCAAGGGAAAAGGCAGAAAAATAGGGGAGGTGGGAGAGAGAGAGAGATGACATTGCAAGGATGCACAGAAATAAAATTTTATTGGCCCAATGTATTTTGAAATACACTTATTTTGGGGACACTATAGATAACAGCAATGAATGTTTCATATAATATAGCACTAACAATTATACAGTATTATACAGGGTGTAATACAGGATGTTTTTGTAAGAAAGAAGCCCACCAAATGGTGGAGATGTGCAGAGGGAGGGACTATAAAGGTGGTTTTGCCTTGGCTTTTAATTCTTCCCTCTCTGTGTCTTTTTGGGGTCCTTGGTCCTTACTGCAGGCTTCTGCAACCCCCTCTTGCACAAGCAGCTGTGCCCATTAGAGGACGGGTCTTGCCCCATTTTCATTTTCTGTTCTTTTTCGATTCTCCCAAAATTACGATTGCCAACCAAACATTGCGTTCCTTAGTCCTGACTTGTGTCAACATATAGAGCCTTATTTGTGCATCAGAACACAGACACAAAAATAAACAGCTAAATGAGTTTGAGTTATTATTGTTGCTATTCTCTGTACATATTCTTAGTAACCCATTCCTTTTTTTATTACAGCCTCTGCTTAGTTTTCTTCGCTACTAGGAAAGGAAGCACGTGACTGACATCCACGCTCGCTGTCGCTTAGGAGGCATAAGCAATGCCTGCGTTAATTTCACATGACCAGATAATCTTGAAAAGATCGCTTGTTAAAAGTAAAAGTTAGAAAGATAAATTTAGGCACAAAGCTTGGTGTGGGGTGGGGGTGGAAGTAGGTTTGGAGACAAAAACACATTCCCCAGCCATGATGACAAACGGCTTAGGGAAAAATCACTTGATACTCACTGTTAGTTCAGGAGTATTAAAGCAATATTTAGCCTTTCAATCCTCACTTACTTTTCATGAAACACGTTGCGCCGTCTTGGTATTCAGATTCCTTGATTTACAAAGCATTTCATGGAGACTTGAAGGGCAAACTATCTTAGATCCACTGTGCTGACAAAACACTCTGGGTATTTTTGCAGTACAGAAGGGAAAGTTAAAATAATGACTTCTAAGTCAAACTGAGTATTTACAGAGCAGACACATGATGGTTGACCTGGCTAAGTATAGACCACTGGAGAAGCATTCACATTGCTTTTCTTTATAATTATCTAGAGCCGATGAGGTGATCTCCATACAAATGGAAATATGAGGTCATTGCAATATTTTTTAAGCCAGATATATAGATAGCTTGCTGATTGTTTCCTTAAATGAACAAAATGATCCCACAATTAACAAAAAATATTGTTATTCCCTTTAAACCAATGTGCCACTATCAGAGAGGAGGGGCCATATATATTGCAAGTGACTTATTTTATTTTATTAAACTCTACACTTCAGATATAAAATTCAAAGAAGAATGGTGTCGCATGTGTTTACCAAAGCAGAGAAGCATTATTTTTTTAAAAAAAAATATGCCTGTTGCTATTGCATGATCTTAAACATTTAAAGGTTTGCACTGTTTAAAATGAATTCCCATGTTCTCCTGACCAGGATGCACATTAACTGAAGAATCCTATGTATGTATACTCAGATGTATTCTCCCCATTGAGGATAATAAGTCTTACTGCCAGATAAGTGTATACAGTAATCTGTGGCACTCCAGCAGGGATGGGAAAATCTATCCATTTCAATTTTTCTCTGTTTTTCAATAATCAAAGCTCTTTTTTAAAAAAATACCCTACATTGTTTGGCATCACAATATGGCATTCATCAGGATCCAGGCCTAGAATGTTATGTCAGTAGCAGACTAAAGGTCTGTTCACACAATCAGATTGACATGATGGGAATGTGGATCAGCAGGGGAAGTGTAAGACATTTTTCTGCCCAGTGTTGATCACCAAATGATCCCACCTCCCAGTCAAGGTGTTTAAGTACCCAAGGTTGGCCACATTATTTTGTCAGTTGAGGCAGAGCATCCTGCAAGCATCTCTCACTGGCAAGAAAAATACAACAATACATTAAATAGGAATTTGTTGCCTTTTCATGATGCCCAAAACCAGCTGTCTGAAGCAGCTGCCTCACTTTGTCTAGTGATAGGGCAGGCCCTTTCAGACTGTGCAGACGGATGGAATCAGAACCTGGCAAGCAACAGGCTGTTCCCCAAGCAAAAAGACACTTCTATTATTTCTACCTGATATGACCAATCAGAAGGCACCTTACTGTCTATCAGAGAAAATCAGCATATCAGGGACAGGCAGCTTCATGCTGAAATGGTATAGTCCTAGGAGTGGGATACAATGTGATTCTTAATGTGGAGAGTGGACCTTTTTGAAAAAAGAAGTACGGATGTAGGTGGCAGGGCCAACCCTGCCGTTAGGCAGCTGCCTCAAGTGGCAGATGCTGGGAAGCAGGCAGTGTTCAAAAACAGAGCAGTGTGTACCACACAACCTGCCCTGGACCTCTAACCTAGCCTGCGGCACTCAAGTGCCATGGAGGGCACTGTCCATTCACCTCGGTTGAGGGCTGGGGCAGAAATGCAATTCAGTTTGCATTTAAGGAAGAACCGACCTTATTCACACTTTCTGAAACAATACGAGACCCCAAATGCAGCCATCCTTTGAAATCCACACTTTTCTGAATTTTGCATTTCAGTTCTCCATCCAAGTTATGTGTGTGAAAAATGCATGGAGTAATGGAAAATCACAACAACGAAATGCCTCCTGTGAGGGATGAAATGCTTTCCAAAAATGTGCTCAATGGGCAAAGTTCAGTTGGTAGAGCATGAAACTCCTAATCTCAGGGTTGTGGGTTTAAGTCCACTTTGGGGGGAAAGATTCCTGCATTGCAGGGGGTTGGGCTAGATGACCCTCGTAATCTCTTCCGATTCTACAATTCTACAAGTGTGGTTAGGAGAAATCTGTACTAAAATATTGGAGAATTTTCATGAAACCTTTTTTTCAAATTGCAAACTGATGTGGAGCACCATTCTGATGTGCTAGCACCATTCTGAGGGATGCTGTGCGTGGGCTCCAGGGAAAACTTTTGTTCCTTTCAGCTGACAACAACTTCTGACATGCCCAACATGCCAAGTTTTTTTAGCCCCACAACTTCACAACATTAAAGAGCAACCTAAATAGGTATTGTGTGAAGCAGAGAAGTTGCCAGTTGACCTGATCTCATAGTGACCATTTGGAGGCCAAAGAAAGAACGAGAGCTCAAGGCAGTATCACCACTACTCTGGTGTAGAAGGGCTATGGGCTTGTTTTTTTACTCAGTTCCAGCTTTGCTAAAATTAGGCAACTGATTTATGCCTATCCAGGCCTGAGGTCTTCATGTGTTGATGTATCTCTAAACACAGTGTTCTCATCCCCTCAGGTTTCACAAGCAAAGCAGGATTCAGCTAATAAAATGGTCCCGTGGAGAGCTTCCAAGTGGCCTCTTCTTAGTGCTGTGCTCATGGATGGCTGGTCACCATGGAGCACACATGGAAGCAGAGTGCTGAAAGGTACTAAAGGAGCATTTGGCGCAGACCATCACCACCCCCTGCCGTAGCCATGAGAAAATACTACAAATCGGTTCTCGCTACCCTTGCAAGATAGGCACAACATGCAGCCCATATCCCAAGTTGCCACAAAGTACGAGTTTCCTTGCCTACTATGCAAATAATAAAACTAACCTTGTATTTATATGGCAAAGGCCTCATGCAAAGATTCCAGCTGGGCATCCACAGGTCTGAAAAGCATTCAGCATAAATGGGAGAATCTGGCTCACTTATCTGTTGTTTCCTACTGCCCCTCCAAACAGCTTTGTGCAAGCACTTCACAGACAGAACTGGAAACCATCACCTGCGCATCTGAACTGACAGTACCAATGGTTCTAACTCATCCTAAAGACAGATAAATTCAATTTCTTTGAGCTTCCTGTGGTGGCATCAAGCAGAACTGACTCACACTATGCTTTGTCAGTGGTGATGGTCTGACGGATTGCTCCTCAAATATCTGCAATATGGACTGCGAGAACTTCACTACCAGCCAGGATGTTAGGATCATTTCTAGAACTAAAATAATGTCAGGTATCAAAAGACTCTTGTGAAATTTGAATATTGTTATCATTAATCAAATCATAATACTACAGGACCTATTCAGAAGTGGCCAAACACTTTCTACCCTGAGAAATATGAATGACCCCTTCTACACACACACACACACACACACACACACACACACACACACACATATACACACACCATTTGGGGAATAAACAGCTGGTTTTATTAATTACTGCTGCTATTAATAACTATCGTTGATGTTTTAACTCTTGTTGTTCAATGTTAAAGGGAGTGCAAGGAGTTCTTAATTGGATGATTAATACTTAATGTATTGTCTTTGTTTATTTAATGAAATTTTGCACATGACCTTGAAGGAGCACGTCTGTCATAAAAGGAAGTCTATAGCTCAGATAATAAATACAAATACTGCTGCTTTTTGGACTCACTTTTTGCAGTACCTGTAGGCTGCGGTCTTTTTTATTGTTACTGGGTGACAATCATTGGTGTCCATCCACTTTTGCAATGGAAATGCTATTGCTGCCCCGGTGCCCTCCATTACAGAGGGCAGTATTCTGTTTGAAGGGCTGTCTAGCCCAAGTACAGTTCAAAACATGAAGAACCCTGAGTAAGGAGACCACAGCTGCCCATCACCTTGGCAGCAGACTGAGCAGGCACATAGGTCACCTAGCCACAGTCTGCTGAGATGTATTTTATCCCCTATTTAAGTTGCAGTAATTACTTCTAAAATTTGCATCTATTATAAAAATTAGCATGTGCAAATTGTATGCAAATCCATGCTCCCTTTTGTCGTCGTCTTCTTCTTCTTCTTCTTCTTCTTCTTCTTCTTCTTCTTCTCCTCCTCCTCCTCCTCCTCCTCCTTTGATGATGCATTTCCTCCTCCTTTCCTTCTAGGAATCCACTAGACTCTAGAGAAACTGGCTTTTCCATTCTCTTCTTTGTTCTCCAATCTCCCACATCCCCCAAAATCTGTTCTGTCCCCTCACCTGGGCCACCAGAATCAATGATCAGATTTAGCTCCCCCTCCAGTCTGCCCTTGAGTGTTTTCTCCCATATAATTCTTGTTTAAAATTGTTTTTACTGATAATTCCTTCGTCTCTTCTTCTGTAAACTGCTTTGTGGCTTTTTCTTTTTACAATCAAGCAGCTCATACATTTCATGGACTAAATAAATTGTAATATTATTTGATACTCTTGCCATTACTATGCTATGCCCCCAAAGTGCTCTAATGTGCAATTAAAATCTAAACACCACAGATGTAAGTTAATAACACCTGCTCACCTCTCTGAGCATCATTTTGGTGGTAGCTAGAGCTGGCACTGGATGGACATGGGGGGGCTGGCCCTGAAGAGGACCCCAGCCCAGGGTGTGTGCTCACTCAAGGGAGCCTTTAATATATAGGCCCCTTTGCACCATACCTGATATAAAGATGGGCACTTTGCTGGTGTAAAACAAATGTATAAATAATGTGCCATCTCTTCTTTGGGGATCAGTAATGAACTTCCATAAGCATTCCCCTTCCACACACAAAAATCAAAATGCAATCTGCCTATTTTCCTTTGCTCATGTGCACCCACCCTCATGAATTCCCACCGACTTAAGGTATTTTATGTCTGACAGCTTCATGTCAGTTCTTCACTCCCCTTACGCTATAAGCCTACCGCAAACTCCAAAACACTTCTTAGTGGAAGGAGTTTGGCCTTTGAACTCCTTTCCTCTTCTTGATTGCTTGTTTTGTAAAATGACTACGAGAAAGCTCAAATGCAGCGGAGGTGTGATTAATTACTGCCACTGTCCAGTGCAGGTTCAAGATAATATAGGAGGAGAGAAGAATCTCAAGAATCCAAGTATTCCATTAATGACAGAGAAAAGTAGCAATAAGCTGTTTACTTTGCTGACGGAATCCTGCACACAGGTGCTGAGTGTTCCATGGCCGAGATAAAAGATGGTTCAAGAGTCAAAAGAGCTCATTCAGACCTTTGAATCTTAATCCGGTGTTATTGATATCACATCCTGACCCCACAGGTTACAATGGCTTGGATCCTCCGAGAAGCTAACTTAAGGAAGTTCATCAAAGGGAAGGTTCTGAGCCCCTGAACCCCTGAAAAGGCTTCGAACAATGTGGGTGGGGTGATGAGGGCTGCTGGGGTGTGGTGGAGACTTTCCTTAAGATGGTCTTCCTTCAGTAAATTAATCTTAGGATCCAATCCGGTAGATGTATAGGAATTCCTCTGCTCCTGTGAAGACAAGGTACAGAAGTCCCCCTGTGGGAGCGAAATTTGTAAGACACGGAGCAGGGTCAAACAGACATTATTTAGGATATGGAGTCAGCAATGAAGGTAGATGGTTTGGTAGAATAAAACATTTCAAACTGCTTTGTATCTCTTAAGGATTTACCTTTCTTTGCCAGTCCTCGCACACATACACGCCAACACTTTAAAGTCCCTTATGGTTTAAATAAAAAGTGTTGCTTGTGGCATCTGCAAGCCTAACATATCAACTAGAGCAGTGTTTCCCAAACTTGGGTCTCCAGCTATTTTTGGACTACAACTCCCATCATCCTAGCTAGCAAGACCAGTGGTCAGGGATGATGGGAACTGTAGCCCAAAAACAGCTGGAGACCCAAGTTTGGAAACGCTGAACTAGAGAGTAAGTTCTGCTGAATTCAGGAGGACTGACTTTTAAACATACTTTGGATCACACTGCACAGTCTGCATTGAAATCAATGGCACATAGGCCCAGTTGTGCCTGCAGTTTTCTAATCATCTTAATCCCATGCAAATTTAGCAACAACCGTGCTGTTATAACTATACTAGCTGTACTGTTGCCATGTTTTCAATGGATTGCAGCAGTATCTATGAAAGTTGTAAGGGTGCAAATTTCTAGACAGCTGACTTCAAGGTGTGAATTATTGAGGAGGGGGGATATTTTGGATTCAATATAATGAAATTTCTCATTTTTCCAGTCCCATGATTCTTGACAGCTCTGTTGTAACTCATGTGGTCCTGAACCTAAAGAGGTTTTGCCCTTGCATTTTAAAGTCAAAGCTCCTGGTTTCTCAGCACACATAAAAAAAATCTGTCCTTTATTGAAGTGCCAGACTGAAAGCTGAACTCCTGAAAACCTAACCCTCTGTGTCTGTGAAAGATGACTCATCTTTTCCAGGCATCAGGCCCAATCCTAGGAGATGGTGGACACTCACACCTTTTTGTTAATTTCAAAGGGTACTATACATTCAAGTTGTCCTCAGAGAGGATCGTATATCTTACTTACATGCTTCACAGAGTAAGAGGTTTCAGCTAATCCAATGTACAAGGAACTGGCAGTCCAAAACAGAACTAGCTGCTTGCCTTCATTCAGAGATACAGTCCACCCATCACATGTTTACTCTTGCCTGTGGAAATAATGGACCTGAAAAGTGCTTACTTGTGGCTGGATCCTGCCTTCAATAAAATAGCAAAACAACAATAAAGCATTAAAGCATCGTCCACAATGGCCTTTAATTGGTTTGAGTTATGGGACTCATTCCTGAAGAGGACACACGAAATGGAGACACATTGCCTAGTGAAGTGTGTGTTATTTACAGCTTCTCCCATACATCATCTCAGTTCCATGGTCTACCCTTTAAGTCTCCAGTTGCATACACAACCTCGGCTCAGTGCCATTCCACATCTGTGAAACTGACTGGCTATAGAACATGGTGATCATAGTATTATGGCAGGGTAGGAGATCACACATCTTTAGCATGGCATATGAAAAAAGAGGCCA